CTTACTTCCATGGATCGTCTCCTACAAGCATCATATCTCCTTCATCGTCAGTAAACACAATAGCCCATTTGTCTTTAGGACTAAGCTCTCCTTCAATCTCAAACATTTTCTCTAACTCTTTAATTAATTCATCGTATGATCTCAATAACGTTAGATCAACCGCTCGTCCAACCGCTGTTCCTTGCATTTGCACCTTAAAACAAACACACAAAGTTGCATTTTCAGAAGAAACACACAAAGTTTGTGTCTTTTTGAGTTTTGACTTGAGAGTAGAATGGTTTGCTTTTACCTTGGTTCGGGTTCTTGTGGAAGTTTGTTGCTTCTGCTCTTTTGGTGAGCTTGATGAGTTAGGATCTTGACACTTTGTAGAACCAGAGTTGTTTGAATCCACACTTACTAGTTGCTTGTCAGGAGGAACTGGTGCAGAAGCAGGCTTGCTCATGAGATCGAATCCGAATAACCTACAACAACTTGTGACCGGAGTCTCGGTTGGAGTATCCGTTTTCTTGCATTGTAATCCGCTTGAAAACACTGGTTTGCTTGAGTTTCTTTCGGTTGATGGATCTTGAAACAATAGTTTGAGTGACGGATTAGACTCGTGGCTCTGCGAGAAGCTGTTCAAGAAATTAGAACCGATAGGACTCCCCGTGATCTCTGCAATGCAAGTCAAAAGTTAGATTCTATTAGAGGTATAGTCAGGTAGATAAGTTGGAATCAAGTATTGGACCTAAAGTTTGTTTCTGAAGTGTTCCTGAAATTGATGAATCAATGGGTCTGGACCGTTTGGACTTCGATTGTGGTTGAGCGGGCGTTGAGGTTAGCGCGGAGGATGAGAAAGGCTCGATCTCCCACAGTGAGACCTTGTTTGGTCTCTGAACCGAAGATGGCTCGTCCCATTGAATCTAAAGATATGAAGCAAAAGATTCAAAATTTACACAAAGTATGCAACAAGAATCATATCATCTAGAGAATGATCCACATTCACTGAACCTGCAATGACCTCCATTTTGAATCTGGCCATTGAGAAGATAAATCTCCAGTACCAACAATCGTACCCGTAAATCTGAAGAAGAAACCATGCTAAATTTCAAACATCAACAATCAAGAGAGGACTGAAAAAAATCCACAAATGACCGAAGAGGAAATGAGAAATCTACATTCTCTCAGGAGACTCTTCTCCTTCGAATCTCATCCTAAACCGCATACCGGGAGCATAACCATTCTTCATCGCCGCCATATACTTGTTCACACCTATTATGAATTGGCTTATCCTGAAGAAAGAAAAGAAGACTATATTAAGCTTTATATCCCTTCACTAGCAACCTATATAAGATGCAAAGTTCCATAAAACTTCACCTTGGTTTATAGAAAACAACAAATAGAGTTTTTGTGTTAACAGCATGTGAAGCTGTAGCAAGAACTCCCAAATGCATACTTTGACTCGAGATAACCGATGCAGGCATCGTGCTCTGCTGCCTAGCTAAACGTCTCACTCCAACTCGTAAATCCCCGGTTTCACCCCTTAAAACCAACATATGAAGATTACTATGAAGTAAAAACCCGAAAGTAAAAGACTCGAGCTTATTAACCACCTCAAGAACACAAATGCATCTCCAGCTACAAGTCTTTTCGATGTAACAAATGTACTCCAACCCGTTGTAAGTAAATGCCTCCTCGGTTGCCCTATCGAATGAAACAAAGACTCATTACACTCTTAAACTAAAGAAACTCTTAGAGACACTCTCTAAAAAGGAGAGTTTGCTACCTCTGAATATATGCTTAAACCTCCATTCGTAGCCGTGGAGATCTCTAGCTACTAGTTCTTGAGTCGGTGTAACTTGTGTCATATCCTAAGAATTGTG